ACTGCAAACCCAAAACTAATAAAAACACAAACCTAATATGAATACACATAAAAAGCATGCATGTTAGGTTGTTAGTTAAAGAAATAATTATCAAATATAAATACATATACACATGATTATGCAATATTCCGAGTGCTTTAAAGGAATTGTTTTTATAACCATGAACAATGCAACCTGTACTAGTCAGGAAAAATATCCAAGGCCCTTAAGTAGTTTCTAAAGCAATCAGCAATCAAAAATATATACTTCTGTCATTCTCATTGTGTAAGATTTTGCGTCATTATATATAATTCGGTCCACATGCTGGATGGAAATTAAAATTATTCCTCTGCTACGAATAAGTATCAAATAAACACAACTCGAAGACGGGGCAAACGCCCAAAATGGTGAGGCTCAGCTCCTTTCCAGATTTCCTTGCTTTCTACCACAAACAGAACTATGTTGCATCAACACCCCTTTAGGTAAAACCTGTATATTAGAACACTGAGAAAGAAAAGTAAGAAGCAACATTTACTTATTTTAAACTTGAATGAAACTCCGAATACTTGATATTACAAGCATGTTATAGTTCTTGCAGAGCAAGTAAATAAGCCAAATTTGGAGCAAATAAAAATCTATTAAATGTTTTTTTTTCCTAATTGAGACGCACACACCCAGCTGGACTCTACATAGAAACCTCCTGCTGGACAGTGATGAAGTACTGCTAGGTTACAGCCCTTGGTGGTAAAAGCACTTAAAGTAGCATAGAGGCAAACAAAAACAAGGCAGTTGTGAAAAAAAATTTATAAGCGAGATATTATCAAGAAAATTGTATGCAATTCAATTTGAAGTATACAGGTTGGCACAAAACAAGAGTCTGTGTGTGCTTGCAGAAACATAGCGTTACACTGCATCAAGGTCCTAAGGAAAATGAAAATATGTATCATTGTTAAAACCAATAATGAATTGTTGATATAAAGATAAAGGAACATAACAAGAAAGAACAATCCATTTGGTCTCATCTCCCCTTCTCTTCACTTTGACCTGTACATAAAGTCAAATGAGATGAATAATAATTGAGCTTAGCACCTTAACATGTAGATCATGTCATAAAGTGGTCAGCACATAAGCACATAACAGGAAGGAAGTATCTTGCAGTCACTTGAACAAACTAAAAAAGGAGAAGAAAAGAAAACCCCCCAATAAATAGTACCGTGATTAACAATGTCTTCATATATTATATACACCAGCATAGAGCAAAGTCAGAAATTCATCTTAGTTATTTTCAGTCGTTGGAGAATAGCAAAAATAAAGGTGAATTGGTGTGCAACACACTCACACACAGCTGAAATTTTTAAAAAGATAACACAAACCACGAGCCTAAAAAAGCAGAGCAGGTAGAAAGATGAAAATCCAATAGAATATGGGCATACCTCCTCCTTTCATTCTAGGCTAAGAAAAATAGAAAATATTAAAAAAGAAAAAAAGAAAAAAAAAAGGAGGTTGGATTATATATTAGATATCAGTTAGTAAACCAGGAGATATTAATTTTCGTTTTTCCCTTTTATAAAAAACCTTGCTATCACGTCGTGTACTAAAAGAAACTTTTTCATAGAAAAAAGTAACATAACAAGTAATAATAGTCAAACAAAGGGAACCCAATTTTTTTGTAGGGTAAAGGTTATATCTCACACAGAAAAGTATAACAGGCTAGCTTATTCACACGTGTGTATGCATGCACTAATTTACGAGTAATAATATCTAACAGCGTAATACGCCAAATTAGCAACTACAACTCTAAATTTCCAACACCAAGCCTAGGTACCCTTGTAAGCAAAGTTATGCCCCTACCATTCATAACAAGTAATAATAGTCAAACAAAGGGAACCCAATTTTTTTGTAGGGTACAGGTTATATCTCACACAGAAAAGTATAACAGGCCAGCTTATTCACACGTGTGTATGCATGCACTAATTTACGAGTAATAATATCTAACAGCGTAATACGCCTAATTAGCAACTACAACTCTAAATTTCCAACACCAAGCCTAGGTACCCTTGTAAGCAAAGTTATGCCCCTACCATTTTAAATAAGATTACAATTGGGTAATAAACAAGATATACTTGGAAGACAATTGGGTACATAAAATTGCCAATTTATGTATATGATGCTCTAAAAACAAAGTACGATTTTTAATCAATAAAAGCTAATTTACAAGACAGATATTGACCCAAATTAGCTTTGACCGATCGATCCTCACAATCCAATCAATGAATGATTGATTCTGAACAACATATAGGACAATTTGTATAAGTTCATTCTGGTTAGATGTAAGGGCAATAAAGGGCATATCCGGGACAATTTGTATAAGTGCATTCTGGTTAGATGTAAGGACAATAAAGGGCATATCTGGGCTAATTTTTTTTGAGCGGGCTAACACTAATACTAATATATATATATATTTTGTCGACTGGGTTAAAGTTAATTATAGCAAAAAATAACTTTTTTTTTTTTTTGTCTTTGGATGGGCTCGAAGCCCACCCCTTGGATACGCCCTTCATAAGTCATCTGGAAATTCTTTATGGTTACATAATCTCTTTCTAGTTAGCTCTGAAACAATTAAGGGTGTGTTTGAATAAATAGGGGAGAAAAGAAAAGAAAGGATAATATTAGTTAGGAGAAAAGAGAAAAGAGAAAAGAAAAGAAAGGATAGTAATAATTTCTATACATGTTTGGATAAATATGAGAGAAAAGAAAAGAAAGAATAGTTATTCTTGTTTGGATAAGATAGAGGAGAGAAAAGAAAATAAAGGATAGTGACTAAATTACTATCTTACCCTTACAGGTCATTAAAATTAAATGTTACATATTATGCAATTAAACGTGTTTCTTTGATGGATTATATTCAAATAAATAAATCCACCAAATAAATCCAAACCCATCTCAAGCTTCAATCCAACCTCAAATCAATCTAATTCAATTCATACTCTCCATAATAATAATATTATTTTTTCATTCTTTTTTGTTATTATTGATTGATTGATTTATTTTTTTCGTTACTAATTAGTAGTATGTATTATTGAAAGAGGTTTGTTTGAATTACTTTATTTTTGTTTTATGTTTTCTGTTTTTACCTACTGTTGTTAAATTACGGAATAAAAGCAGGGAGTTGATGATGACGACCCACTGTTGTTAAATTATGTCGGTGGCACTTTCTTTCTCTCTCTAGCATTTTAAGATATATAAATATATATATATATATATATATTAAAGATATGTGCATTTTATATAATTATGCAGTTGACAGAGCCATAATATACCTGATTACATGTAATCATGTTGGATATCATGCATGTTACTGTAATCTTGTTAAAGTATATTTAGGTAAACCATATAAAGCAGCTCTGCTTGGTCCAAATTCAGACCAAGCCAAGATTAATTAACTAAGTTGAACAAAAAAGTTTTGTGAATTATTACATTTATGGTCATCATGGTATATACTTTCTCAGTTTCCTGAGGGTAAATGTAGGCTAGATGCTGAGATTTTGGTTCCGGGTCATCCTTATAGTGAAACCACATAGATACATTTGGATGCCAAAGTCTGTTCAAACTGAAGCACAGCCATAACTAGCTTGATGCTCAACTAAAATATAATATTTCTTAATAGCACCCTTCTTTCACTCAGCCTGCTACTAGGTGCACTTAGACCACCAATGTTTATTGCTCTGACTATTTTGTGCACTTAGACCACCAATGTTTATTGCAAACCTTGCTGTTCTCGTCTCCACTGGGAATGTCTCAGTCGGTATCAACCAACATAGAGGTCCTGAGATCATGTGTGCACTAATGCATGGTTTGTCTTTCCTGTATGTCCCATATACTTTAAAAGTAATCTGTCACTAATGTATACAAAATAGTGTTGACCCTGCTAAATTCAAAGCATGAAATTTCTCAGATAAATGATAATAACAACTAAAACATCCCCTTAGCAGAGGATGGAAGACAAAGTCTCCTGCTCCTAAATACTATCCATCAAACAAATAAAGTAACCCATATCAAGCATCATTTTTCCCATCAAACAACACAGCAATAGAAGGAACACAGCCACATAGCCACCAGAATGGATCTCACAAAATGCTTCCACCACATAACAGAGACACCAATAGTGAAAAAAAAATAAAGTAACCCATATCAAGCATTCCATAATAGATAACAAGCACACAAAAAAATAAAATTACCTATATCAAGCATTCCAAAATAGATAACGCGTTATAATGTCTCATAAAAGTAAAACAAACATATGGTTTCAAAGTTAATATCCCAAAAGTTTCATAGCGATAACTAAACATAATATAACTAAACGTAGAAATAGTAAAAAGTTCCACCAAAAGACATCCCCAAAAGACAATATAACTAAAACCATAGTCAATGTCTAGAAGCACGTGACATCAATTTCTCCAAGAGTTGCTTGCGATGATTAAATGGACAACCAAGAAATTGTGTCACTCTATCAGGATGGTCATGCGTAGTCAAAAAAATGAAAGCGTCAACAATTGCATGCTCTTCTATTCCAATTGTTGCCAACTCCTTAAAGATATCCTCTTCATATTTTCCCTTTTTGTTGCACTTCTCATAAAGATTGTTAAATGTTTTCTGAAGTTCATTTTCCTCTTTAAGAAGTTCATTTCCCTCTTTAAGAGATTCAGCAACACCGCTCACTACTCCAATCATTAGGTTATCTTGATCAGCAGTCGAGGATTTCCTTTTGAAGAAGAAGTGGAATGGGAAGGTACACTTGAAGGTGTTTCAGGAGACATCATATTCATATATTCAAACTCAGTATCCAAAAAACCCGTATTATCCAAACTTGCTTCATTCCATGACACCAAGTGATCAATACCATAAATGCTATCTATAGGATCATCATTATGAGTTGGCACCCATTCATTACTCCTCTCACTAGCACTTGCTGTTGATTCATTATTCTTCTCCCTATCATTTGCTGCCCATTTAGCCATCCTCTACTTAGCAGTTAGGGCATTAAACCCCCTTGCCCTATCCTTGCCAAATAAATCCAACAACTTATCATAATTAGAAATCGTAGCAGTCTTCCATTTCTCAGCAGCTGGTTTTGCCTGTTGGCAAAACATAAAAGAGAAAAAATAGTTATATTATCATTATTTCAAAATGAAAAAATAAATAAATAAATAAATTATGTATCTCTTAATAGTAAAATAATAATAATAATAATAATCACAATTAGAGAACCAACCGTAATCAAATCAACCCAAACTTTAGGTTCAGCGCTCCACATTTTTGTTTCTTGACTCCAAGCAAACCCACTCAAACCATTTTTGAACAAGTCAAAACACTCGTTAAAACGAGTCTTGGTTGTTTTCAATCGATTCTTCACTTTAGCTTTGTTGATATCAATTCCGAGTTCAACTCTTCAACAATTTCATGATAAGCTCTTGTTGTGAATGTCCCATCATGCATATTTCCCTTAAGATATTGATTATGTAATGCATCCACAAATATATCATTCATTTGTGCATTCCAATCCAATCTGTCCCTCTTCGACACACCACTTATGTTTGATTCTTTACTCATTCTTATGTCTACATAATAACAAGTATAACACAAAGAAAGAGACAAAAAAAAAAATAAAATGAAAATTAAAGACACATAAATAAATGCATGCAAAGTAGGAGTTTATAACAAATTATTAGCATTCTACATCTTCAAATCAAAACAAGCACTCTAACATAAAAAGACGTTAAGTTTTTTCAAGCAAATAAACATTTGAAATATCACATTTGATTAGCTACACAGCCATGCCACATATGGGAAGTTATTGAATCTCTCAAGTATTCCCCCAAACTATGATCTTCACTTCTCTCAGCTGCACCAGCCTCTTCATTTCGAGTTTCATTCAACAGCTCCCGGTCTACTTCATTAATAAGGCTTTCATCAGGATCCATGCCCATTAAATAGTTGTGTATGATGCAACATGCTAAAATAATATCAACTTGAGTATTAACATCATATGTTGGTTCAGTACTTTTTCCTATGATAGGAAATCGTTTATTCAACATACCAAAAATTCTCTCAATAACATTGCGTAGTAATGCATGTCGAAGGTTGAATAACTCTCGAGGATTCTCCGGTCGACGTGAGGACCATTTTTTTCAATGGTAACGCACACCTCTATAAGGCGTGATAAGTCCAGCCTTCAATGGGTATCCCGCATCAATAAGATAATATTTCCCTATTAAACACAATAATAATTAATATTAGCTTCATATTAATAATTTTTTAGTTAATATTAACAAAATTTACCTTCAGGAAGTTTTAGTTTATCTTCATTTCTTTCTAGTGCACTAGCCATAACTCTTGAGTCTGAAGCGGTACCCTCCCATCCAGGTAAGACATAGGTAAACTTCATGTCAAATGAACAAGCAGCTAACACATTTATTGTTGGATAATTCTTCCTGCCACGATATCTTGGTGCATCTTCGTTAGATACTCTCATACGAACGTGTGTTCCATCAATTGCCCTAATGCAATTCTAAGATAAATTATTATATAAAAATTTACATGTAATAGTTGGTGAGAAAAGAAAAATTGAAGTATTGAGGAGTACAAGTAATAATCACGTTTACCTTAAAATACGGATGAAACCTATCGTTATTGAGTATTTCTGGGGGGACGTCCGATCCATTAGGTTGCTTGAGGAATTGTCATTCCAAGGATATTATTGCTTTTAACACACTATGAAAATGACGGCTTATGGTTTCACCAGAGCAACAAAAGAAAAATGACATTGTCCGATTCCTCACATTGTGTGATATAATGTGAAGAAACCTGGCAACTTGCTCTTCAACACTTGCATGTCTTGTGGGTCGAAGACCACCATCTCTCATAAGCAGCTTACAAAAATTTTGAAAAGCTTCTGGTCCCATATGAGTAATTTTACGACATTTCACACTTACCCTAAGCTCGTTCATTATTTTATCCCATGTTATTTGCCTTTCAATTTCTGGTTGTGTAATAGGTTTATCTATATAGTTTCTACGTTTTCGACGCATAAACTAATACACGGCAATGGTAGTGACTAGAATTGCAATTTTACTTCGTCTTTGTTCCCACATTAAATGTAATTTTCGTATCTTATTTCGTTGTCTCTCCATCTAAAATTGTAAAATGCAAAATGATATATTAATAACCAAGAAAAAAAAAATTGAAATCAATTAAAATTGATGAATAATCTTAAATACATTCAACTATACAATATTTGATGAATTAAAATTGATGAATAATCTTAAAATTCGTTGTAAGTTATGAAATCTTTTTAATTTTTCATAGAAATGATTGTGTACTTGTGTCTAGAGCGAACTTGGAACATAATTCGAAGGTGATCGTTAATCTTAAATATGTTCAACTATACAATACTTGGACTGATACAGGAAAATATTATACTTGGTGCAGACAAGATAAACAAGCATTTAGGATACAAAGACAAGTAAATTTGAATCTAAAAAGAAAATCCAAGGTTCACACAGCTTATTGTGGTGTCCTTTCTTCTCAGTTAGGGCATTATGCAGAGTCTGTGTATGATCCAAGATATAAAATGAAGGGAGTTGTGACTTTACACTTTACAAGATACTTAGTTGTGAAGCTATCTTCTTTCATTGGAAATCCCAATTCATACACAGTTTATGCTTCATGAATCATAACTCCTCCTAAAAAGTTAAAAACGTAGAAGAAAATGATATATATATTACTAGTCCTAAAAAGTTACACAGTTTAATAATAGACCAGAGAGAGGGAGAGAGATTAGAAAGCTTTGTACTCAGATATATATATTACTAGTCCTAAAAAGTTAAAAATGTAGAAGAAAATGATGGAGCTTTTAAAAGTATATTGAAACCCCTACAATTGTTTGCTCTCATATTTTTTATTTTTGGGTGTGAATCACTAATTTTTAATTTACCTAATTCAGGAAAAGGTCAAAACCTTTGCATAGAAGTTTTATAATGTTGAAGTCACTTGATGGTCAAAAAAAAAAAAAAAAAACAGTCACTCGAAACCTAGTTACAAATGTGCTATGTAATTGAAAAACTTCACTTGCGTAGCTTCAATAATTCAAATCTCAATGAGGATTGATAGTTATCTGGACCATTCTAATTTCTGAAATTGACTATATTGGAAAATACAATTAATGACCATCAATCACATGGAGAATCCCATTACAAGCCGCCAGATTTCTGGGCTCTGTTGGATGCAAAAAACATTTATTTTCTTGATCAATTTAATGCCCAACAATCAGAATCCTTAATTATCATCATCATTATTATTAACATCATCGATCACCATCTTCACTCCTTTGATGAAAGTGCAAAGAAATTAAAAACTAGGGTTTACTAAAAATTAACAAGAAAAACAAATCCAAAAATTGATTGCAATAATACTGACCTGATCTGATTAGAGGAAGATTTGTGGTGACGGCCGAAGCTGGAGAAGACAAAGAAGCAGTGTCGCCGTTGCCCAAAGCTGGAGAAGTATTCTGAAGCAGCGTCGCCTCTCAAGTTAATCGGTTCTGCGTCGCCTCTCACTTCTTAACCAGTTGTTGCCTTAGTAAGAGTAATATATCATTGGGACATGATTGGAATTACATTTCAGTGTGTAGATTTCTAAAGGACATTTTTGGTATTACAACTTTACAACTTATTCCCACTATCCTTTCTCTCCCTATGTTCTCAACTTGGGAGAGAAAGGCAATAGCTGATAGGGAGGGATAGCTATCCCTCCCTATTTCTCCCTATCCATCCTTATCCCTCCACTTAATCCATCCAAACACAATTCATACTATCCTCTCTTTTCTTTTCTCTCCCTATCCCTTCAAATCAACCCTACCAAACACACCCTAAGAGTTTTCTGAAAAAACCTGCTAGTGGTCCTTCAAAGGACAGAGACTGCATAATTCAAAGCACTCCAAACTGGACTGCATGAATCGTTCCATTATATATGCAAAAACAAAACTAGGAAGATTTTAAATAGGCTTGTGAAATCTAGCTATATGATTAGGGTTAGGGTATTCTTCTGGGTTGGATTTCCGTGGGGTGGTGGATTTAGGCACAAAAAGCTAATGAGAGAAAGAAAGAGAGATTAGGGTTTACCTCTGGGTTGGATTTCCCTCGGGGGTGGATTTAGGCACACAAACGTATGAGAACAGAGGATTGGGTCTGTGGGAGTAGAGAATCACGTTATATAACAAGAGAAACACATATAATTAGGCGTAATAGAAGCAAGGGTATTGGGAGGAAGAGACTCATATAATCAAAAGTAATAGAAGCTAGAGGACATACGGCCATACTTTGATTACTCACCATTAGAGTACTTTTATTTTTTATCAAATAGTAAAATAAGGAGTATTGCATATTTAACTGTAGAGTAATGTTTTAAATTTATAATATAAAAGACCTTATTTTTCATTTAATTTTTTTTTAATGCTAATTTATGTTTTTGTGCAAGTAATATATCATTATAGAAATAATTGTTATAAATTGTTCATATTGTTTGACAATGAGAATGTGTATAATTTGTACGTACTTTTTGGATTAATAAATTTAATATTTTTACTTATCAAAAAATAAATGTAATATTTTTAAATTTTCATTTATTTTACATGTTTTTTTTTTAATCTCTTTTAAAATATTTTAATAGAGTGGCTTTGAGATTATTGACATGCTTTTGGTTAACGTTTTGAAATTTGGAGGTGAATTATTGGTGAAATGTTTGTAGAATATTGTAAAATAAAGATTGATATTTATTAATTATTTGAATTATGAATTTGTTGTATTACATTATTTCAGGACAAGTCATTTGTGAATACATGTGTTAAGATGTTACTTAAATGTTTATGCTTTATGTGTATCATTGTCGAATGTATTTTGGCTTTAGTTATGCCTTTTGAATTTACAAGTTAGTTTGCTTAATTTGCAAGTATGTTCGTCTTTTTTTTTTTTTTTTTTACTAAAAAAAAAAATTTCATATCACAATATTGAGGAGAATGAAAAATTATGTTGTTAAAATTTTCATGTAGCTACAAAGTTGATGCACATCAATCCTAATTAAAGAAAAGTGTAAAGTATGACTAACGGACCAGTGGTCTAGCGGTATCGAACTCTTACCTCTTAAAGGGAAGTCAGAGGTTCAAGTCTCAAAAGAGACATGTGTGTGAGTATTAATTAGGAAAAAAAAGAAAAAGAGTAAAGTATAATGACACCAATTCACTCCTCAGTAACAATCCTCATAGGAGTGAATAAAAATTTCATAGAAAATTCGTTTGAAATCAAAATGGAGCAAACGAAAATGTTTTCAAAAAAGTGAAAAATTCAGACAACAGCTATTGTCGAATTTTTATAAAAATATATGTTTGGCCAAAAATTAAGAAAATTTTCAAAGAGTAACTAGACATACAGAGGAGTCTTTGGTAAAAAATTCATAGCAATCGTAATATTACAATACCCTGGAGAAATTAATGAATTTGAGCACAATAAATTAGTTCTATTTTGTGATTCATATTAATTCAAGGATAATTTTGATATTTCAACATATTTAATATTTTATACTAAAACTGATTTTAATATTAAGAGACAATTTTGTCTTCATAAACTATTTAATGCCTAGTTTGGAAGAGAATTCCGACAAAGAAATGTCATTGTCTAGTAAATAGCCAAATTGTAGCAAACTTGACATGGTGTTATTGTACTTTAGACTAAAAAAAAATTAAAAAATTAAAAAATTAAAAAGCATGAAGAATATCACTGTCCCGTCATACTTTCTTTGTCCGTGGACGTGAAACGATAGGATGTTCAAACTGATTTTAGTTAAAAATATATATATATTATTTACTATTTAAATTTGTTTCATTATTTTATATATATATATATATATAGTCGATCACTTTTATTTTCCCAATTCCAAAACACCAATTAGCTTAGTTGCCTCTCATCTGTTCTCTCTCTATCTCAAGTCTCGAGACTCTCGCGCATATAACTTCTCTCTATAAGTCTCAAGACTCACAACATAAAGATAACTTATCTCTACAAGTCTCAAGACTCACACCACAAAAGATAGCTTCTCTCTCCCATCTATGTGTTTGTGTTAGAGGTGTAAAAAAAAATGTGTTTGTGGTAGAATAGTTTGTTTAAAGTCTTTGATTTGTGAGTCATATATATATATATATATATATATATATATATATATATTTTCTGGCCGGTTTGTTGAGTGATATATGTGACTTATATGATTCATTTGTTTTTTGTTTTTTTTTGTTTTCCAGATAAATGCACTTTTTTTTTCTTTGTTTACCATAGATGTCATTGTTTGTTTTATTGGATATATGTCATTTGTTTCTGATCTTTTCTTTTCATGTTTTATATACATTTATATTTATATGTATGTGTATATATATATTGTGTACCAAGATATTGGGGTCTATATTCGTAACTTTTTTTTTTTTTTTTT